GCAAGTTAAGAGCTTTTTGATTTTATGTAATATGACTACCAGTGAATGGAACCTGATGTTGCCATTAATTATTTAAAAATAGAGCTTTTAAAAATGGCACTGTGCGTATTTTAAACTAAACTTTCCAGAGCAGAACACGGTAGTAGAGGCCTCCTGAAAAAGTTCTCCTCCTATCAGACAAACCTAACCTGAGTTTGAACCCATATTGGGAATCTTAACATTACAAAATTATATGAATTTTGTATAAATTATACTATATTTTGTATATATTTCTGTCTATAGCTCCTCTAGGCCAGAACTACTTATGGGGGCTTACCAAGTTTACACCTACTCAGCTTTATCCAAGCCTATGGCATTGTATGTTCCCAGGCCACAAAATGAGTGGAAAAATCTCCTGTATTTAATTAACATGCAATAAGCTCTTTCTGAGATTTCTGAGAGAAATTGCCCATACCCATTCGTCCCCTTCTTCTTCCCAAAAGACCAAAGGTACAACCTGATACAGGCTCCACTCAACATTTGCCTATTCAGATCTACCTGGCATTCCACATATTATGTAGACAAAGAGCCTTCAGATTAAGGCATGTATTAAATACCCCTTTGTTTAACATCCAGCTTGAATAATTATCCTGGAGGATTCATAATATTGCATAGTGCTTTTTGTCATTTGGTGGGTCTTCATAAAAGGTACTGCATGGCTGTTGTCCACAAAATCGTTGCTAGTTATTTCAGTGAGCACTTTGAGTTAAAAAATATTGAAATGGCATTGATAAATTTAATCCCAGATTTACTGTTAAATTCACTCTCACATATCCCATAATCCCTTCATTTTAAAATATCCTTTTTACATTACATTTCAAGGAAGCTGGGACAGGCAACAAGTGGGACCTTCCATTCCCCCTTTCCATTCACAGATCAACAAGTAGCACCATCTCAGAGCAGTTTCAAGAGGCCTACAAAGCCTGACGGTATCTCTTGGGTAGCTCAGACAAACCCTGGAGAATCGAAGCTGCGTTTATTTCCAGAACTCAAAATAGGCCATCCGACCTACAGTTATGACTGTGACTATTCATTATGGTTTTAGTATTAGAAAGTGTGTGGGATCCGTTGTTATCTCGCATCTTTAGGAATAATTCACGGAGGGCAAAGCCATGTATAGAAGTTAAGGGCCCCTTCTTCCTGTACAAACCCTCCCGGCTGTCCTGACCACTGCCATGGCTCTGCCCTATGCATGCCATGCTACAGGAGAAAGGCTTTTTCTGTGGTGGCACCCAGTGTTCCCTCTAAGCTGAGTTAGTGTGAGCTAGCTCACAGTTTTTTAGCCTCCGGCTCACACATTTTTGTTTTAGCTCAGAAAGGATGGCTCCAGAGCAAACTATTTTATGCAGCAGCCAAATGGCTCACTCACAACTTTAATGCCAGCAGCTCACAAGGTAGGATTTTTGCTCACAAGACTCCACAGCTTAGAGGGAACATTGGTGGCACCTCATCTACAGGACACGCTCACTGCATGTGTTCCTCTGATGGCTTTTTCTTTTGACATTTATATGCCAGGTAACGAAAGGCAATTTTTCAAGGCATTTAAGCAATAATTAGTTCTTGCTGCTAATTAGTATTGATGAACTTTTAACTATTGCTTTCTTTCTTAATTTACTGCAAAAAGAATTATGTTACTCATTATTGTTAACAATAGCAAATACAAGGTAAAAAGGTAAAGGTAAAGGTTCCCTTGCTCGAAAGCCAGTCAAATCCGACTCTAGTGTTGCGGTGCTCATCTCCGTTTCAAAGCCGAAGAAGCCAGCGCTGTCCGAAGACATTTCCGTGGTCATGTGGCCGGCATGACTAAACACCAAGGCGCACGGAACGCTGTTACTGTCCCACTGAAGTGGTACCTATTTATCTACTTGCAATTTCTTGCTTTCAAACTGCTAGGTTGGCAGGAGCTGGAACTAGAGACGGGAGCTCACTCCGTCATGCGGCACCCGGGTCTCAAACTGCTGAACTACTGACCTTCCACAGCCTGCAGTTCAGCGTCTTAACCACTTGAGCCACCGCAGCTCCAACAAATATAAAGTTCCCAGTAATTCCAATGCTATTACTGATTTTATTGCATCAATTTTACCATCTCTGCTTTTAACCAGATATTAAGAACCAGTTATGTAGCAGTCTAAACACAACCAGAATAAAATAAATATTTATCCCAAGTGGTGCTTTTGCAGCCTCCAGACTGTAATCGTCAGACAACGCGGCTGCAGCTGCTTTGTGCTTTCTGAAATGAGATACTCAGATGCAGTACTTTGATGATAGATGATTGCTAAAAGAAGCTCCAGAGAACAATTGTGCTTGTTGACCAGCTTTATCACACTTCCAAATTTACCACAAGTAGCAAGTAATTTTTGGCTCTGAAACAGAGAAAGTGCATGGGAATTGGTGGGTTGTGAGAGCTTGCCCTCTGCTTTTTATTTTTTCTAGAAATAGCAGTGTAGGATATTTTCATGCAGTATGATATTCAATAATGAATGACAGATGTGCATATCACTATAGTCTTTATGGCCTTGCTCCATGAAATATAAATAACAGCAAACAAAACAAAACACAAAAACAACCAGGGCTTGATTTTCCAAACTCTACAGGTCTCCAAAGAGAACACAACCCTGTCAGAGTTATTTAGCTCAATCTGAGTTGCTGCAGCCCAGGGATGTAGCCAAGTTGCTTAGAAGCCGACCACATCTATGTGTTACTCTTACCTACCTTGTTGGCATATATAGAAATGGGCCATTCACGGTTGTGTGGCCCCATGTTTCTGGAGTGGGGTCCTGTTTCGTCAAAGGGAGCAAGGGTACTCTCTGGCCGCCTCAAAGGAGGCTGTAAAGAGACCCATCCTTGGACCCAGATTTAAATGATCACGGGGCAGTGGCCAAATATCCCCTTCTTGGGAAAGGGGATTAAAACCAAGGGGTAGCTGTACAATTCAAGGCTTTCTTGGATGATGAAATGGCTTATCTGGACTGTTGCAAACGGGTTTCAAACCTCTCTTGGTCACTCTGCCTGATGACCTTTGCCAGAACAGAGGCATGGGGAGCGTGACCTTCTATTCTCCTGGATCTTTCAGCATCATTTGATGCCGCTGGCATATTCCTGGACTGGTTACCTAAGGCTGGTAATTGGGAGCACTGTGCGGGATATAAACCCTCAAAACAAACAAAGGTGAGAATAGATCCTCCATGTTTTAACATCTACATGAAACCGGTGGGTGAAGTTGTTCAGACTTCTGGGCTGCAGTGGCGTTAAGGCAGATGCCACCCAGCTCTCCTTTTCTACTGAGTCAGAAGAGACGCTGGAAGTCCTGAGTTAGTGCATGGAGGTGGTGATGGACTGGATTAGGGCCAAAAAACGGAACAGACCGAGGTTCAGCTGGCTGATGTCGAAGGTGGTTGAGGAGTCAGTCTGCTCTGTTCTGCACAGGGATGCCCTCCCCCTTATGGGGCAGTTGTGTGGCCTCTGGGAGTGCTTTTTGATCCAAGGGAAGGGACAGATCCCTTTCTCCACCGCCGTGATTGTCCTTCAGAGGTATGATTTGGCCATAGTTATCCATGCTCTGCTTGCATCCATGCTGAACCACTAAAATGCACTGTACACGGAGCAACCCGTGAAGTCTGTTCAGACGCTTCAGCGGGTTCTACACGTAGGGGCTGGCAGGTTCAAATTACAGTGACCACATCTCCCTGCTTTAATTGATTAGACAAATGGATTCCTCAATTAAAGCATTTTATGGTTATGCTACTTGCACGTTAAACACCACACTACTATTCCTGGCCACCTTGTCTGGGAGCAGTATACGTTCGGGACCGCCCCTCCAGGTATTTCCCCCAAAGAGCTTTACGCTCAAGTGATCCCTGACCTGGAAAGTATCTGGCTGCCCACAACCAGAAGCCTTCTGTTCTGTTCTGCCAGGCTTATGACTCTGAAGCAGCGACAGTCTCCATCCTACATTGGCTTCTCCCCCCCCACCCCCCTTTCTGTATCTGCTATTCCTCCATGTGATTGGTGGCAAGATATTTTACCCTCCCCCCCTGGATAGGGGCCCCCAGGCTGTGCTCTTTTAGGCACCATCTGTTAGTGTTACTATTATGGTTAAAATTGTTTTAATTAATTTTATAGATATTGTATTACGGATATGGCTGTGTAGGGGAGGAGGGCTATAAATCCAATAAATATATAAGTTCTGTGCAATGACCTCTCCTTGTGCCTTGGAACCCCCATGGAAAAAGAACCCCGTAATCAGCAATTCACCTAAAAGAAGGAAAAGTTAGATAAGGAACACAGGAATGTTTTAAGTTTTTTTTAAAAAGAGAGGGACTCTTTATTGAGAGCAGCATATAAAAAAAAAAACCTTCTTGGCTGTTCTACCCTCCACTCAAGCAAACTGAAACTAAAATGACTCTAGGCTGCAATTCTTGCAATAATAATAATTATAATAATAATTAAAGAATACTAAGGCTGAGAGGTGTCAACATTTTTTTTAAAAAAAGGAAAACAAACATTGTCCCCAAATAATTGTATAAAAAGGATAGTCAGGAAAGCAAGTGAAAAATCTCCTTCATATGCCAGGCACTTAAGTTTTCTTTGCTCCTTCTAGATACGCAGGGAGGCACCAGAAGGCCTGACGGACCACTCCAGGAGGAGAGAGACAAGAGAACGGCTTAATAAATATAAAGGTTCCTCACTGGCTTAAGACAGGAGCACATGGTCCAGTTTATTAGGTACCTTGATGTCTTGTTCAGGCCTCACTTCAAAATATCTGGGTGCCTCCTCCTCCAAACCCTGCGAAACCTTGCCACAAATGAAGGCTCTCTCAAATTAAAGGAACTTGCTTGTGCTTATTGAGAAAGGCATTCTGAGATCTGAATCGGATGGGGCCACGGCTGATTGACAGAGCACCGGCTTTGCATGCAGAAGGTCCCAGGCATCTCGTTACACGGTGATATGAAAGACCACTAATTAAGACCTTGGAGAGCCACTGCCAGTCAGAGTACTAGACAACACCGACCTTGACAGACCAATAGTCCGACTTGGTATAAGACAGCTTTATGTGAGTTCAGGAAGAAGAAGAAGATGCCTGAGGTGCCAACACAGAGGAGTCCCAAAACTTGCCACAGGCCTTCATTGCCAAAGGGGCCTGTGGTGCCTTTCCAGCATTCCCTGCAGCGCTTGCATGTTAACCAGCCTCACGGATATCAGAGGTAGAACCTGGAGGAAATGCAGCCTGGTGAGGGGCAGGGAACAGGGCCTGACAAGAAGCCTCTGGTAAAGGAACAACGTCCACAAGTTTTGTCCATTAGTGTAAAAAATCCACAGTCCGTTTGGGTGTGGACTTTGGGTCCCCACTGGAGAGTCTGTAACAGTCAAACGCCAAAACCACTCTCGGGCCGTTCCCAGCTCATGCAAGAGGGGCCAACCTTTCCCTGCTCACGCTTTGCTCTCAGACGGGCTTTCCCCAAGCATGTTGGCGATCTCGCTGAAAGACGGGCGGTCCTTCGGGCTGGGGGCCCAACAGCGCTGCATTACTTTGTAGACCTTGGAGGGGCAACCCTCTGGATGAGGAAGCTTCATCTTCCCAGCCTGTAAACCTGAAGATGGGCAGGAGGGGGAGCAGAGGGTCAGAAACAAGGAGAGAAGGAGATCCACCAGCCCAGGTCTTGGTGGTGAGGACCCCCCACGGCCCTTCAGCATACAGCCTCTCAGCAACAATCCTCCTAAACTTAGATATCCTGTGATGGCTCCTACTTTGCTTCTCTCTTCCCTTCCTCCAAAGAAGTATCTGCCCATATAGCCAATGCTTCGCCCACATCCTCTCAATCTGGAACAGTTCAGTTCCCTTCAGCCAGCTGCATGCTTAAGGAAGGCCTTGCAAATATTTGCAAGCGGCTCCTTTCTCTTCAGCCACCCCTGCTCCTAGTTCCCCTTCCCTTCTCCCCTCCATGCTGCCAGAAAGAGCCCTGGGAGCACTGGGAGACAGGTGAGACATATTACAGTCCCGTTCTGCCCCCCCTCCCCCCGCAGTGCTGCTCCTGGCCTGGGGAGTGAGCCAGCATGGCCTTAAAAGGTCAGTAGAGGTAAGGTACACACATGTGGCAGCTGCACAACAATGTTTCCCAAGATCGGAAAAGGTTCTAACAACATGAAACACAATCCCAGAGAACGCCAGGCTAATCACTGAAAGGAAACCGCTATAGCACAACAGGGTACACTTACAAATATTAGTACAGAAGAAAAAGAAGAAGAGATTGGATTTATACCCCGCCCTTCACTTGGAGTCTCAGAGCGCCTTACAAACTCCTTTCCCTTCCCCTCCCCACAACAGACACCCTGTGAGGTGGGTGGGGCTGAGAGAACTCTGACACAAACTGCTCTTTTTCAAGGACAGCTGTGCCAGAGCTTGTGACTGACCCAAGGTCACATCAGCAGGTGCAAGTGGAGGAGTGGGGAATCAAACCCGGTTTTCCCAGATTAGAGTCCGCATACTTAACCACTACACCAAACTGGCTCTTTTAATGAAGAGCTTGGAGAGCTTCATTTTTCTAATGAAGAGAAAAAGAGAAGAGATTAGATTTATACCCCACCCTTCACTACCCACAGGAGTCTCAGAGCAGCTTTCCCTTCCCCTCCCCACAACAGACACCCTGTGAGCTAGGTGGGGCTGAGAGAGCTCTTGACAGAAACTGCTCTTTTTTCAAGAACAGCTCTTATCAGAACTATGACTTGCCCAAGGTCATCCAGCCAGGTGCAAGTGGAGGAGTGGGGAATCAAACTCAGTTCTCCCAGAGTAGAGTCCGCTCATTTGTTGTGCTAACCCTTGACACTGTTCAGCTACCATTTTGCCTACATAGGTATGATAAATGTGTTAAAAAGCTTAGTGTGGAGCAGCAATTTTAAACCACTTCAGGGATGGCGTAAGTCAGAGCACCACAACTGTGACAAGTGAGGACCCTTAATTTTTATCCACAACAGATCCATAACATCTGTACTTTTGCCTCTCCCAAGCATTCATATGAGCAATACCATCTTCCACACCATCTGTGGCTGGAGTGTGGTGCGGGGTGGGGTGGGGGACATTCTTTCAGAAAGGACACTGAAAGGGTATGCAGCCAAGCACTCTCAAGTGACAGTCATGAAGATACATTACAAACTCATGACCATTTTCACACCTTCCACACAGCCTTCTCTGACCTCTTCTCCTTTCTTTTGTCCACCCCACGCCAGAACACCCGGCACAGGGACCACAGAGATGGATCAGTTACTGATATCTGTGGTAGCACATGATACCTCAAACTACTTGCCAAGGCAGATAAAAGTTAGCCATTATATAGCACTTTAAGAGTGGTTGAAGTACCTCATTGCAGGTTATTTTGTAACTCTGTAAAGAGGTATTATTATTGCCATACTCCACATGTTGTGCCCTGGGCTTATTTTTATGACTTTATTGTTCTGTTTTTACTGTCTGGGCTGCCTTGAACAGATCTGGGAGGGGTTGTGGGAGGGGTCCCCCATTAAACAAATAAATAAATAAATAAGCTGAGAGAGTGTGGATTGCCTAAGGCCACCTACTCAGGAAATGGCTGTGATGACTGAGATTCAAACCAGAAACTTTCTGACTAGCACCTCTTCCCTACCGTGCCATACCAATTCTTTTGTTGTTGTTGTTGTTCTTAAACAGAAAAGCGCAACCAGCAGGAAAAGGCCTGCTATTTGGCTCAGCTAAGCTTGTGGCTTGAGCAGAAGTAACATTCAGCATTACATATATGTGGACTTTTGCAAATTCCAGTATTCTGTAAGCAGAACTTAAATTCTGCTCAATTTCCTAGTTTGCTGTGTATTTAAATGTTTCTTTCTGCACCAAGAAACACTAAACATGTGTGTAGGTGTTCTTTACAAATGATGGCCAACTGTTATTGGAATGACAATATGCTGTGTTGTCAGCAATCCTGCAGCTTCGCTAGAATTGAAAACTGTGTGCACAGAACAATAAAAGTGCCAAAAATGTGGCACTAAAGCTATACCTGATACATTTCAGCTTTCATTCAGACCATATTTCTAGCTGCAGACATAGGCATTTATATGGATAACAGAATCTGATCTTGGGTAGTGCAGAGTTACAAGGTTATCTAAAACCAAGCAGGCTCCCAGAAAACCCGTACTACATCCCATGCTTATTATATCACACCTGTGCTTTTTTCTAAAACCATTAAGGTGTTTTTGCTTTTTTTGTTCATCCCCTCCTCTTAAAGTAGTCTGGCTGGCTAGCAGCCATTCTGCCAGCAAGACTGCTGTGCACGCAGATTGCCAGATGGCACTTGCTGGTACCTGGCAGGAGTGTTTCACAACTCTCTGGGCCAAGGGAATAGTAATCAGTGAGGATTCACGCACCTGCTAGCACCTCCTCATCTGCCAGTTTGGAGTACGGCATTTCCCCAAGGGTGAATATTTCCCACATAACGACCCCGAAGGACCAAACGTCAGACTTGGTGGAGAATTCATCCTCCAAGACAGCTTCGGGTGGCATCCAGCGGAGCGGGATCCAGGCCTGGTGGTAGTGATAGTATTCACTGTTTCACAGAGAAGCAAAAGGAGAATCAATTCAGCCGCAGAGACCCAAGAACTGGCTTCTTTCCCAGCCAAGCGAGAGGGATCCAAAGTACCCCCCCCCTTTACCTGTTGTAAACATCCTTGCTGAGGCTCAGGCTTGACACCTTAACCTGCCTTTGGGCACTGACCAGACAGTTCCGAGCTGCCAGGTCTTTATGTACAAATCTGCTGTTGGAGAGATGCTCCATTCCCAGGGCCACTTGGCAGCTGAAGGATACCTGCAGAAAGAGGTCCCGCACACATTGGCTCCGGATCACAGAAGGCACAGAAGCCCTTCCAGCTGTTACCAGTACAGGGAAGAAAAAGGAAGCCACACACCCTGTACTTCCACAAGTGTTTATTTTGCCAGCAATATTCTTCTTCTTCTTCTTCTTTTTGTGAAAAAATTGCTTAGTGACAATTATGCAAGTAGAAATATTTGCTAGGTTTAGGATTGCCGAACGCCTTGACAAAAAGTGTGGTGTCCCTTGAACAGAGGCTTAATGGGATGTTATTTGCCAGGTGATGTTATTTACCTCCACCCCATGAAAAGCTTCAGCTGCCTGTTTTTACATATTAAGCTCTATGAAAAGGACAGACCATTTTCCTCCACAACCCTAGATCAGACACAGATCAGAGGTTTTAATCTGAGGTTTTATAATGCAAAAAAGAAGAGGGAGATTGGATTTATACCCTGCCCTTCACTACCCAAAGGTGTCTCAGAGCGGCTTACAAACCCCTCCCCCTCCCCACAACAGACACCCTGTGAGGTAGGTGGGGCTGAGAGAGCTCTGACAGAAACTGCTCTTTTTCAAGAACAGCTGTGCCAGAACTATGGCTTGCCCAAGGCCATCCAGCCAGGTGCTAGTGGAGGAGTGGGGAATCAAACCTGGTTTTCCCAGATTAGAGTCCACGCACTTAACCACTACACCAAAAACCCCAATATGTTGCTTGCTCCCTGTTCAAATTGCACAGCTCTTCCTTTACACAGTTTCCCCACCCCCTATCAGTCTCCTCCGCATCCCTGTAGCAGGCTGCCACCCATCTGTTTCCTCCACTGACCTCCTGCAACCTGGACCTTCTATACTGTTATTCACGCATCCCTCCTCCCTTGGATAAGATCAAACGTTATTTTAGCAGCACAGCTGATGCCCACATGGAGGAGGAGGGGCATAAAGGGCATCTGTAAGAAGCAGTTTGCACAAAGCAGCCTCTACATATTTAAACCAGACTTCAACTGCACCAGCAATCCTCCAGAAAGAAAGGGTCATAATTGAAATCAACTGCTTCACACATGGCTCCTTGCTGCACTGCAAAAGTAACATCTAAAACAAGTCGGAATCTAGCTACAAGTACCACCCATTGGCCAAGATCAACCCAGTATTTAGGGCTGTTTGAAAGCAGTGACGGGAAGTGCATTCGGCATAAACCGAGCTGAAAAAATACACCAAAAATACCAGTAATTGATCGGCTACCAGTATAGCTGAGCCCGAATAAAAGCCGCATGCAGATCCTGGGGCCATCGGCATATTTCTTCTCAGGTCTATTGGACCCGAGAAAAAAACAGGAATTCTGGAAGATCCTGGATCCCAATACCACACTGGTATTGGGATCCAGGATTTTCCAGAAATACCGAAAAAAAATTGGGGGGGGGGGGGGAGATCCAATAGACTCAACCTAGAAAATGACAGTTGGGGTTTGTGTGTGTGTGTGTGTGTGTGTGTGTGCGCGTGTGCGCGCGCATGCACCCCTACTAGTGACACAAAGACCAGAGACTAGAAGAGAGTAGAGTATTACAAAGAGAAGTTGTATGCTATCTGGTATCACTTTATTGTCTCCCAGCTTGGTATAGTGGTTAGGAGCATAGAGTCTAATCCGGGAGAACCGGGTTTGATTCCTCACTCCTCCACATGCAGGTGCTGGTGTGACCTTGGGTCAGTCACAAGTTCTCTCAAGAGCAGTCTTCAAAAGAGCTCTCTCAGCCCCACCTACCTCACAGGGTATCTGTTGTAGGGAGAGGAAGGGAAAGGAGATTGTAAACCGCTCTGAGACTCCTTTGGGTAGTGAAGGGTGGGGTATAAATCAAATCTCCTCCTTCAAAATTATCTGTGTTTTGTTCTCTCCCTCTCAAGCTTGATGCTTCACTACATTTTGGGACTCAACTCTTTCTGGGTGAACTGGTGTTTCCCCACTTTTACCTTCTGTTTGGTGCTGATGGGCTGGGGCTTAAGTTTCTCATCTTTAGTCCTGGAAATCCTCAAGAACTGTTTCAGGTCTCCCTAGGAGGAAATAAAAGTAACACTATTTTCAGAACCCAGGCAGGGAATCCTGGGGGTGGGGGCGGGGGTGGTAGAGGGTAGGCCTAAGGCTCTGCCCAGGCAAAACTGCCACCACCTCTGGTGCAACCACGTGAGTGCAGAAGCAGTAAAAAAAGCACATGGCCCAGCTTCAGCACCACATATCATTTGTACAGGCTTGGATACTACCATGCTGAGCACTGAGGCTTCCCTAATATCTGCTTTGCTTTGCAATATTTCCATCATTTTCTAAAAAGGATCACATAATCCTATACTTTCTGAACACACACTATCCTCTGGCATTCAAGCTCCTATTCCTTTCATTAAGTTAAGTATCAAATATAAAAAACTAGGCACAATTTGTTCCTAATGGGAATGAGGCACAAATCTCCAGGCTTCTTCCCTCCTACCCCAACACACACCGCCAGGGCAGACAAGAGCTGCCTCTGAGCACCCCACTCCACCCCTGTCAATGTTATACGACAATAAATCACATGACTTCACTGGCTCCCAGGGGCCTAAGAATTTTCTCCTCCTAAATCTGCCCCCCCCCCAACAGTGGCCCTGTACACTGCAATGAAAGGCTTCCTGGTTTAGCAACCCAATTCTGATTTAAACCTAAATACTAGCAAAATGTCAGTAGAAAAGAACAAGAGTCCAGTAGCACCTTAAAGACTAATAAAATGTGTGGCAGGGAATGAGTTTTTGTGAGTCACTGCTCACTTCTTCAGAAAAATGTCAGCTACGGCACCACATGTGAACTGGGGGAAAGGGAGAGAAGGGAGGGAGAGTGTGAGCTGAAGGATCTGAGGGCTGTTCATGTCACAAACTGTGGCTTGTTTGAGATGTGTGAATGCAGCCCAAATATACCCCCCAGCCTCCAGTTTCATAGAGTGAGATTTAATGATAGGAGCTAGCATTCCCCCAAAGACTTGGTATCAAAAGGGTCATCTGTGACTTTGCTGCGGGACGTGGCATGCCCAACCAGAACACAGCTCTACCCAAGTCCTCTGATTTCCACCTGGATGGTTTCAGAGGGCTGCTGATGTTGGTCTGCAGTAGAACAGCCAGAGCTAGAGTAGAGTCCAGTAGCCCCCTAGAGAGATTCTCGAGGTTTGAGCTTTTGTGAGGCGTCTGACAAAGCGAACTTTGACTCTGGAAAGTTCATACCCTGAAAATCTGGTTAGTCTCTCAAGTGCTACTGAAAAAACTAGCTCATTTCTACGTCTTATCCTCACAGTCTTCATCTATTCCCAAATGCCCACAGCCAACAAGCCTACTTCAAGGAGTGGGTATACAATGCATTCACTAAGCCAAATGGCAGGCCGGTTTTTCCCCTCACTGCCATCATCATATTGGGGGGAAAGCTCCTGTAAAAAAAAAAATGAAAACTCCTAGCGGACCGCCTACCAGATCCACATATTCCAGAATCATGTAATGGGGCTCTGTTTCCCGGCATAGGCCCAGCAGTCGCACCACATTGCTGTGATTCAATTTGCCAAACATCTCAAACTCTCGCCTGAAGTCCAGCTGCAGCTGTTCATCCCTTGTTTGAAGGCTCTTGACTAGAACAAGCACCTCAGTTTCACTGTCTTCAATGCCTTTTGCCTTCGCCAGGAAGACTTCTCCAAACTCGCCCTTTCCTGGAAGAAGAGGTCAATTTGTGTCCGATGGCTGATCAGGGTCAACAAAACACAAGCAGGAAGCTGCACAATCCCATTTTTAGGCTTACAAAAAGGGTCTGAAAAGCAGTTACCCATTATTCAAAAAAATAAAATAAAAAAAGACCAAACATTTCTTAATCTATCCTCAAGAATGATTTCACAACAAATGGTGTAATGGTTTTTAGCATTATTTAACTTACAGAACAAAAAACATCAAGTAGTTAAGCACCGAAAACAATAAGGCCTCTATGTAAATGCTTGCAGGCTGCCACATTGGTCCAAAGCAAAATCTGAAGCTATTTAATACCTTTTATTAGAGGAGGAGGAGGAGGAGGAGATTGGATTTATACCCCGCCCTTCACTACCGAAGGAGTCTCAGAGCGCCTTACAATCTCCTTTCCCTTCCTATAACAGACATCCGGTGAGGTAGGTGGGCCTGAAAGAGCTCTTTTGAGAACTGCTCATGAGAGAACAGCTCTGAAAGAACTTGTAACTGATCTAAGGTCACACCGACAGCTGCATATGAAGGAGTGGGGACTCAAACCTGGTCCTCCCAGATTAGAGTCCAGCATTCCTAACTACTACACAAAAATGACACAAAACACTGTGCGGGCTAGCAAAATGAAACATCCCCTTTTTTCTTCCCCATCTCCTTTTAAAACATCCAGCCTGATGAAAGAGTTCTGGAGAACTCAAAGGCTTGCACTCTGTTTTGTATAATTTCTGTTGGTCCCAATAATAGGTATTACTTGGCTTCTGTTTTTGATTACGTAAACGGCAGGAGTACCAGTGTCTGGTGTAAAAATCTGGGGATGTTTGTGGTGCAGAGTGCATGTCACCAGCTTCAGTGGGTGTACCGAGTCCCACCCTGGAACCAAACATTGTGTTTACTGGCTGATGAGGTGATCTGGGAACTAGGCAACTGGTGAGAGCTCCTGTTCTTTGAAAGGGGGGGGGGGCAGAGATGCCATCCTCCTTGAGGAGAAGAGTCCCTACACCCATTCTAGAACAACCCTCCTTTTGTGTAAACTGACTGGGCATAAAAAGGGCTCACCCTCTGTACTTTTATTAGGACCAATCAGAAGGACTCATACTCCCCTAGCATGCCCACTTTGAGAAGGGCTTTGAGCCATGATTGAGAAGTGCTGATATCAAGCAACTGGCTGGGAAGGAAGATGAGAACAGCCACATTAGAGCCCCTCAGCACAGACTGTGGGGATCTGCCGTTTACCCTAAACATGCCGCTACCTGGGGAGGCAGCAGATGTGTTGCTTGCACTCACTAGCCTGCCAGGATGAAGGAGAACTGTTACTCTGCAGCATACCTAAAGTGGTGATTGTCTGCAAATTGGAGCGGGGGAAATGCATCTTATCACTGGCGCTGTGCCTCTTGTTGGCGGATGAGCTGCTGCCAAGATTCGTCAAAGCCACCTCTTCTTGGATTTCAGCAGTAGTCTGCCCATTTTGCAGCAAAGTGCCCCCTAAGAAGAAAACACATTTTAAGTTCTCCTGCCTTAGGCGAGCACATCCTGACACTCATGCATCTTACAATAAGGATACTCAAAATAGCAATTTATTATTTTATTTTAAAACTTTATATCCTGCCTTCTTAAACCAAAGACATCTTATGGAGAGAAAAAAGATATAACAATACAATGAAACCATACAAAACTATCAGCAAAGCCGCTGCAGCCAATACAAGATTATTGCACTGAACTACCACCTAAAAACCCACCAGATTAAACCAATTCCTGCGGATTAAAAGTTTTTGTTTTAAAAGCACTGTCTTGTAACTCCTTCAAAAATGTAGGAGATTTTTCTACTCAGCTCTACAGCAAGTGAATTTGAAAGGGCAGGAGCCATTGCCAAGAACATCCTGAACATTGCGGCTACAGTTTTGACCCTCTAAAAGAGCAAATGTTGGCTGACTTGATCCCAACAGATAGGTGGGTGGGCTAATATGGAGATAACATGTGGGCCATGAAAGGCTTTATAGGTAAAAATCAGAACTCAGATTTTGATCTCAGTAGCAAAACTGGAAGACAGTGCATTTGAAACAAAAGCTGAATATGGCGTTGACCTCTCCCATTCTGGTAATATTCCTACAGATGTAGCAGCTAATCTAGAACTGTGGCATTTCTCCTTTTGTTGTTGTTACACACTTCCACACACTAACTTCTGAGCTACAGGAAAGCACAGCATTCCACATCTTCGACTATGTCAAATTGACTATTAAGATGGTATAAGGGCAGGTCTTCCCTTCCATTTAAATTCAGAAGGTTCTTCCTCATGACTGGGAGAATTGCAGGCTAAATTGTCATCTTGTTTCCTTCCACTGGTTATATTTAGGCATTTACATTCTGCTTTTCTCCCCAATGGGGACAAAAGAAACTAACAATATCATTCTCCCCTCCAGGTGGTTGACTTTGTGTCTTCAGTTTCAGTATGTTCGTACATTTTAAAGCTCACTTTCCAAGACAGTCCCCCCCTACCCTGCTGCCCAACTTGTAGATTGTGTTTACAAATCTGATGAAACAGACTCTCAGCTACAAAATCTCATGCTATAGGGATTTCACTAAACAGCAACAGGTAGCCCATTTGGAGGAAGAGGAGCTGTCTTAGCTGATTTAGAAATATATTGTACATAATTTTATCTATTAATGGACTGTTATGTTTTGTGTTCTGCAACTTGTAGTGGCCCAAGAGTCCAAAGCAGGATATAAATATTTCAAATATTTCAAATGAATAAGAAAACATAATGTAAAGGTGCCAACAGCCTCTCTGTTGCCGCAAAAATAAGGTGAAATAAAACAAGACTATCATAATTACTCTTCTAGATTTCAGGAGGATAACCAAGGACAGCAGGAGCAGATGGCATAAATAAACCACAATGTTGTGTTGCCTCTGAGAGAAACCCTAAGTGCTTCAAAAATGACCCAATTTTAATTGTACAATACATGAGGATAACGGCAGGTACTGGAATCTTTTTGTTATCTTTTTTCACAAAGGGATACGTTCTCAAAATAGCTTGGCTTGGCCACTAGAGGGTGCTGCCGCCACACCATTCGGGGATTAATGTGCAGTGAACCAGAATTGGCTGCCTTCCCATCCCTGAAATTTGATTCCTTTCTCTTGCTGTTTGGCCTATTGCTAGTGGCTCCTGATAGATACCCCTCATGGTTATTTCATAACCTTCCGGCAGTTAGACCAGAGCATATCATGGTCCCAGTGTGGAAGAGGCAGCAGGTAGGTACTGCTATCACTAGCAATGGACTAACTAACTGAGTATTCTGGACAGCTCTTGCATTCTCAGAGGAGCCCACCGATTAAATTAGCCGTGAACAGAAAAGCCTGGAGATACAACATAAGGTAAAGGCAGGAGGCTGCAATCTACAAAGACAGGCAAGGAATGTGCACAAAGCCATTATTTCCTATAGTTTATTCTCAAAGCTGGAGGGTACTTCAGAGAAGCCCATTAAAATGAGCACCAAGGTAATTCAAATTCAGTCCTCAGTTAGTTACTTCCAATTAATTTTGACCACTGCAAGGTTTCACAGATTTTGGAATAGTTTGACAAGGACAGGGGGAAGGCAGGAAGGACTGTGAGCCACAGCCAATGCCTAAAACTGACTGAATATAAAGGTAAGTCACACCAATGGAACCACCACTATTTTTCCCTATTAAAGGAGCAGGCAGAATTTCTTCCTGTGGCATTCTCTTCCTAAAAACCTGAAGGAGGGGAAACAGACCAAGGAAAGGCAGAAGGACTATGAGCTACGGCCAATGCCTAAAATTGCCTCAATATAAAGGTGAGCCACACCAATGGAGCCACCAGTATTTTCCCCCTCCAGGTTTTGTTTGTTTTTAGAAAGAGAATGCAACAGGAAGAAATTCCACCTGCTCCTCTGATAGTTACACAGAAAATGAATTTTGAGCAGATGCAGCATTACAAGCACACTAGAAGCTCTATCTTCTTCTGTACCTGGTAGCTTGGGGCAAGGGAATTACATGTAAAAAATAATCCATAGTGATTCCCATGTTGTAGGCTGGAGCTAAAGGTGAACTGTGGATTTTTCTAGTTGGATGACTACTAGAAAAATACTGACGCTCCCTTTTGTTCAAGTCTTGGAGGTAATGTCAAGGTTCAATAAATGTAGAATGCCCTCTTAAACTTTCTAGGTTGTGTGCACACTTGCATGTATGCACCCAAGCCAAACAGTACATACACGTAGGCAGATGCTCTGGGTGGCTCCCACAGACCCAAGCAAACTTAACAAGGCCACGTCACGTTTTAGAAGCCCTTCAAGAGTTGGTTGCTTTGGGTGGCAGCATGGCCAACTGAAGCATGGGATAGTATGTCTTTGTTTGCTCCCATTATTTATTTCATGGATACGCATAGTTTTTACTTTCTCCCCTAGCCTTTAGATTACAGCAGGGTATAAACACATACATTTCAAGAGGTGTTCTGACCACTTCTCCCAACAGCTCCACAGCAGTCCACCCTCCCTCCCTCAGAAGGCTAAAGCTCAAGGTAGTACCACGATGCTCCCCCTTCCTAACCAGGAACCAGATCCTATACTTTACCATTTAGACACTCCATCTCAGGCTCCTCGCCCTCTGGCTGCTTTTTCAACCTCTTTGCCTTCCTCCTCTTCTTGCAGTAGAACATGAGCCCCAGCACAATGATGATGTAGGCCACTGCAGCTCCAACCGAGAGTCCTATGGTCTGAATCATCTTATATGGAGTGTGGTTGTTGGCCGCGTCATCTCGCTCTGCAATTGGTTTGTCTGGAAGTTGGGTACCAAGATGACATGAGACAGAGCATGCTGCCGCCTCCACAGCTAAGCAACCTACAGACTGGTTGTGTGGAATGTTTCATGACCAGCACACTCTTTGCATAGATAGGATTAGCCTGAGGAGGGTTTTCTCCCACCCGATCAGCTGTGTTGCCACATGCTGCCTCTAGAAAAGGATGTGAACTTGGGAGTTCCTTGTTCTTGAATAATTAGGGGACATGTAAGACTCATTTAGTATCCCTCCGGACCATGTTCAACGGTGGCTATTGGCAATAGGCACAGACTGAGCTATGTGTGGCTAAAGCATTTCAGCATCTGATCTGCATCACCCCCATTCCCACCATATACGGTAGAAGACAAGCCCTGCGTCCAAGACAGGAAAGGAAGGAGGGCATTTCTAGGGAAGCCCTTTCCAGCTAGACTGTCAGACATCATGGCAAACCTATGTTTGACCACGAAGGGAACACACGTCATCTTGCTTGTATGTTCTCCTCCTGCACTGTGTGCAACTCCAAAAGCCTTGAATCAAATTTCAGTTTGCCGTGACATCCAAATGGCAGTTTTCTGCTCAAGTTAAGAGTTTGTTTCCTCCAAACTGCTACTTAATGACACTCCACGTGTTATGGGAAGGGGTACACAGGCCAGACAAATCAGTTTAATGTCTATCACAGAAGAGATTTACTGTGATGTCTGAATGTGGCTGGTATGGAGCACTAGACTGCCTACCAGTTGCTTGCAAGCGCTAGAGGGGTGCAACCAGAGGCTCTGTCCCCTTGAAAAGCCCTGAGGAAAAAACTCTGCTTTAAATTAATAAGCAATGCCAAAGAGACAGACAATGTACTATCTACACAGAAGGGATTATGTAAAGTCTAGTAACTATATTTGGAACAACACTATACTGAGTTTTACCCCAAAGGAAATTTACCCTGAATATAAGACAACCTCTGCCCAAACATTACACAGAAAAACTTATTATTGTATGCACTTGTAAGTTTTATGCAAACATAAGTCAGCCCTTTCTTTTTCTCGATAGCAAACCAGGGGGGAAATTAGTCTTCCTTTTGGCTAAATACAGTAATTGCTATATAAAAAGCTAGGGAAAATATGGTCAACTGCATCTATTTCTTTAATATTTATGCAGGTATGTCAAAGTGATAATTACGATTATCTAAGGAGTGCAACAGGTAATTCATTTGAACCCAAAGAACTAGCTTTCAGTCAATATGCAGATGTAGAACACTCTGCCCCACTACCCTCATTCAGATTTTCTTGTAAATCATATCAGTTGATCTAAGCAGATGCAGAGCTATTCCCCTAGAAGTCACTTTCCTACGTTCCAGACACAGTAGCACCACCAAATGGATATTCCCTACCTACAACATAGAGAAACGCGTCATGATCCTTGATGTTGCAGCTGTTGCCAGCAATACAGGTGTACTTTCCAGAGTCTTCTGTGGTGACATCGTATATTATCAGAGAGCCATTGGGCATAATCTGGATCCTGCAAGCAACGCAGAAAGAGGCCGACAACCACTAGTCAACCTAAACATCACAAAACACTATGTTTCCACACAGAGAAAACAACTGCACTACTGAATGACATCTGAAGAGTTATCAGCTCCAGATGACTCAAGCAAGTGAGCTGAGCCACACCACCCCTGGATATCTACCAGAGCAGGATTATGCCACAACGATGACAATCTGAGTTTAATTAATCTAAACCACTTAGGGCAGGAATTAATTAATTAATGAACATTAATTAATGAACATTAATCTAGACCACTTAGAGCAGAATCCTAGCTGAAACTGAAGAAATGAGCAATGACTCACAAAAGCTCCTACCCTGCCACATACTTTGTTAGTCTTTAAGGTGCTACTTGACTCTTGCTCTTTTCTATAACAACACCTCATCAGAGTGGCTCAGGAGAGTGTTCCATCTATACCTTGTGGCTATACCATATGGACCTCTGTTCCGTATGTTTACCCAATCCCTTCTTGATAAATTTGTTAGGCTGGCCACTGCTAGATCACGAGCGTTTTCAGGATGTTGACCCCCCTTCCCCAGTTGTTTTGGATGACAGAGATCTCTTATGGATTTTGTAACACCCACTTTAAGACTGGTTCTGGGGAAAGGCTCGAAATAAATACAACTTTTCCCCTTCCGCAACCATGATCTGCTGCTTTGAGGCATGCTCTGTAAGCGTCTGCCTGATGGCTTAATCAGCTGTGAATGCTGGTTAGTGCTGCACACTCTTCACAGCAATGGGGGGGGGGGATTCCTTCTCAGTCCATTGTATTTGCTTTTGCTGTGCTAGAATTCTAGAGACACACACCACAGGCTAGAGCACAGGTGTCAAACATAAGGCCTGGGGGCCGGAACTGGCCCATCCAGGACTCTTATCCAGTGTGTGAGCAACTGGTGTGACGGAGGAAACAGGAGGCTGCTCGGGAAGGGGGGGATCGAGCCACTCTGCTTGTGGCATCAGCACGGTGGAACAACCTTGTCTGCAGCCGTCAAGCAGAACCATTTTGGTACCCTACTCCTCAGATTTTTTTAAATAATGCCATCCTACCTGAAATTGAAACACCAATTAAAGAAAGAAGGCTCTGAAGAATTCAGATTGCATAAACTCATGCTCTCCTTAGGGTGGTAAGGAGAGAACTGATGGAAGAATAATCTCCTTGCCTCCGTCACGTGACCCTTTGGGCAGGAAAGGCTACACTCAGGATGGAAGGTAGGCTCTGGAAACTTATTTAAAAGCTTGAAAGCTCTGTGGCTGGCCTGCAATGGTGCAGTCCCAATGTGGGACTACACAGAAGCCATGATGATGAACTAGAAGTTAGCTATAGGTTAAGGATTAGAATCTTTTGACGAGTGGGGACTAATAAGACTTGCATTAGGCCAGCCACTTGCCAGACAGCACGCCTGGCTGAATCACTGCTGCCTTTCTCCCTCCTGTAGTGGGGATGAACTAGAAGTTAGCTATAGGTTAAGGATTAGATTCTGACGAGTGGGGACTAATAAGACTTGCATTAGGCCAGCCACTTGCCAGACAGCACGCCTGGCTGAATCACTGCTGCCTTTCTCCCTCCTGTAGTGGGTCTTCTTCTGCCCAGCTCATGCAGTTTTGGGTTTGTTATTTTTTCAAAAAAATTGGTCACACACACACCCTTTAGGTTTGCAGAAATCTCTTTTATGTCTTTGCTGCTGTTCAGCTGCACAGTCGAGTCCGACTCCTCGCAACACCATGGACCATATCACGCCAGGCCCTCCTGTCTTCCATTGTCCTCCAGAGTTTGCTCAATTTCATGTTTGTTGCATTGATAACACTGTCCAACCATCTCATCCTTTGCTGTCCCCTTCAATCTTCTCCAGCATCAGGGTCTTCTCCAGTGAATGCTCCCATCTCATTTGGTGGCCAAAGTATTTGAGCTTCAACTTCAGTATCTGTCCTTCCAGGGAACAGTCAAGGTTGATTTCTTTTAGGATCGACTGATCTGATCTACTTGCAGTCCAAGGGACTCTCAAGAGTCTTCTCCAGCACCATAATTCGAAAGCATCTACTCTTCAGCGCTTGGCCTTCTTTATGGTCCAACTTTTGCACCATACATTACTACTGGGAATACCACTGCTTTGACCATACGGACTTTTGTTGGCAGGGTCTACATATCTACATGGTCCCAAATCCACAGATCTATGTATCTGCAGATGGGGCCATGTCAACTGTTAGACATATTGATATGTTGGTGGAGCTTCCAACATAGTACTGAGAAGGTCCAAAAGGGGGACATTTCATCTTGCCCTCAACACATGTATTCTTCCCACTTTTCATGTGATCCAACCCTTCCTCCCCAATTCCTGATTTTAAAAATTAAATATAGAAGCATTTAGGGAAAAAACACAATGGAATTAAGTCAGAAATCAAGCACATCAATGTACATTTTTTAATTTGCTTAAATCTATACCTATGCAGACTGCTAAATTTCAGTACATAATCTGCACCTCTCTGCATGTGCATATTTAAATTACCACTGAACATTATTCATGGCATTTGAACACACTTTACGAGATGACTCCATTAAGGTAAAACACAGAACATGTACAACCAACTCCCAACCCCAGACTCAGTTGACCCCCAAGTACATAACTTATGCTTGAGATAACTGTCTTCAGTTAATGGGGAGTACATTACCTGGGTAATAATTTGTCAGGCTCAAGAATCCTGTTCTTTCCTTTCCATTGGATTTGTGGCACTGGGTCACCCTCAGCTTGGCACTGGAACATGGCTGTGTGTCCCTGATATACTGTGGTATCATCTGGCTTCACTTTAAAACTTACGAAAACTAGAATACACAACCAAAACCCAACCTAAGCAGATACACTAAACTATATGTTTCCTTGATGAGCTCTCAAGAACACAATGGAAAGGACACCCTTGGAATGAAGATCTTACAGGCATATTTCTTTAAAAAAATTATTGAAGGATTTAAAAAAATTAAAAAGAAAAACAAAAGGTCAAAAAAAGGAAGAGAAACAGTAATATAAAGGAAAAGCTCTCAGTTTTCTTCATGACAAATATTGGCATAATTACAGAATTCACACTTGTTCTATTGTTATCAGAATAAAACTTCTCATTTTCCTATAATCCTTTCCCCCTCTTAGTCTTCAAAACCACAAATCATCAGTTCATTTCAGTTTCACACAAAAAGTCAACAAAAGGTTTCCAGTTTGCTATAAACGTGGATAATGTCTTCTCTCTAATGAAAGCCATAAGTTTAGCCATCTCACAGGCATATTTCTTGAAATGCTAATCTACAGCAAGGGAGCCCAACACAGGCTACAAGATACGGTTTTTAACACATCCACCCTCCCCCAAAGGGGGAAAAAGCAAAATGTTAAGGCAGACTCAATCAGCTGCAGGATTTTAAGAGTCCCAAGACAGGAAGCCACAGAAAGGCAAATTTTATTAGTGATGGAAAGGCACCATTCATGAATATCTATATTTTTAGTCAGTATAAGATCTCATCAAAGCAACTGTCTTGGATCTCATGCTATGCAACACAGCAGCTCTTGCAAAGAGGATATTTCTAACCTCTCCTCTCCTCCTGCAGCCTCCTGCTATGCTTCCCAGAATCTATGAAAATCATTCCCAACCTTTTTCACTGATAGAAGACAACCTCCGCCAGTGAAAAACTTAGCCAGGTTCCAAGGTAATATATAGAAGCATTTTTAATACTGAAGATCTATAAACTCTTAACAACCACCAAACAGTTTTGCTTCAACATTCTGTTAAGCTCAGAAAACTAGACTGGCCACAAACGGACTCCCAGTTGCCAAGCACTAGCTGCTTCATCAGATGCATACCTGCCACTGTGAGCTGAACCATCGCTCTGATCTCTCCCTGTGGGTTATTGGAGGCAATGCAAGTGTAGTTGCCAGCATCGCTTCTTGTCACTTTCTGAAAATGCAGGATCCCAGCATTGTGACTGACCCGTGTTGGCAGGGTGCTTCCATCTGGGTAAGTGAGCAGAGACAGTATTAAATTTTTTAAAAGGAGTTTACTTGTTTAAAAAAAAGGTAGTACATGTACTGGAGATTACAGCTTCTCCCCAGGCGATGGGAAATTTATCACTGTTCACAAAGGATAGTTAAATCAAACTCAAGACATTGGGCTTTATCCCCCTTGCAAAACAAGCCAGGTGCCTTATATAGGGATGGGTACAAACCACAATTTTGCAGTTTGGTTCATGACTGAATCATGAACTGAGCCACAAATTAATACGTTGGTTCGTGAACTGAATCCATTCATATCGGTTTCTGACCCCTGCTTTCTGCTCCGCACCATTTTTGCCAGGGAGCAGAAAGCAGGGGGTTAAATGGCTCTGAGTCAATTAAACCAAACAGCTGAGCAGCGGGGAACAGAACACAGGGGTTTAACTGGCTCGGTTTCTGCTCCACGCCACTTAGCTGTTTTCATGAAGTGCAGAAAGCAGGGATTTAAATGGCTCTGAGCCATTTAAACCCCTGCTTTCTGCTCTTCACAAACCGTCACAAACTGCCTTAAAATTTGTGGAAGTTTATGGCGGCTCTTCTGTTTGTGAACATCGCTTCACGAACCATGAACCGGCCAAAATTCATGATGAACTTTCATTCATGAGCCAGTTCATGCCCATCCCTAGTTTTATACACAATGCTATAAGAAAAGGGTTTGTCGAAAATCTTATGCATCCTATACCCTTATGCATGCCCCCTCACCACTTTTAATCCACCGGATTGTAGGCTGTTCCAGGCCTGTGGCTGAACAGGATACTGTGACCTCTTTATCAAACTCAACGCATCGCTGGGGCTGAGGAGGAGGGGTAAACTTCAAGTTCTCTGTAACAAGCAGAATTATCCAATCACATCCATGAACATAAAAAGCAAATCCTGTGAAAACCACCCACTCTGTGTCTCATGCAAAAGGGTCTATTCTTTAAGGCAGCAACAGAACCATCTTCAAGAGACGCAAATGTAGGTGGTGTACGCAGGAGCTATAGACTCATATGCAGCAACAAGATCCCTCACAGTATCACATACCAAGAACTTGTACACGAACTTGTGCTTCAATGCTCCCTGCTGGCGTGCTGCTCACACATTTGTACGTTGTCCCATCATACACATCCACGTTGTTAATGCGCAGTGTCCCATTCTCAGCAATGTCAAAGCGAGAATCCTGCCAGAAATGAAAATAGGGCATGTAGGCCTTCACACTCCAAAGGCCCAAAGGAAACATATTTCAGAGCTGGTTTTGCCAGCAGTTTACTCCCTCCACTTGTGATAGCCAGAACTGCAGCTGGGCCTACTAATTCAAAGTAGTCTTTTCACCTACAACTTTTCCAGGCACCAAAGATGATCTGAAAATTAGTGCACCCCTGACCTGTTTCGGGAAAGAATTACTAGGGGGTGAATCAATGATCAGAGAAATCCTGAAACTTGACACATTTTTATCTCTAAAGACAGAATATAAAAAGCTGAAAGACTGCTGTGAAAGTATGAAAAAAAATTCTGCTTCAGGCCCCAAGGCAGAGTTCATGGAACCTCAAGTTCCCCTTCTCTACCTGGCCCCTTTCCTTCCAACCAGCATCTAAGGTTCTAGTTGATTCTTGCCTGCAAAAAGAAACAAGACACAGTTTCCAGAACTGCCATACAAAAAAGGGGGATTAAAAGAAAACTGCAAATGTAACCCTGTTTAGTGTGATGTCAGTTGCTTGAACGCATCTCCCTTTTGTTGCATTTTTTTAAAAAGGGCTTTAATTGTATAACAGGATTAAGCCAGTTGGAACCTGATATGTAAAACCACAGGACACACTCAGCTGTTAAAACTGCAGGACCACACAAGGGCAGCTGACTGGGAGCCACATTACCAATACAATCTGGCTGCTGAGCTATGCTGAAATATGTGTGCAGGCTTTTTTTGTGGGTATGAATAGCTCCCCTTCCTCAAACTCTCACACAGAATATTTGAGATACACACATGAACAACTCACAAAGACAACAGCATCCGAAGCTCTCCCCTTGGACCGCACACTTGACTTCCAGACTCTGCCCCAGCTCTAGTAACTTGCGGAGCCAAGCTTCTTCCGCCAATTGGAGGGAATTCTTCCCTCCAATAAAAACCTCTGAGCAAGGTCTAGCTCCAAACCCTTTAATAGGGCCTTTTGATTAAGAGCAAATTACAATCAAATTAAAGGGCTCCATAGAAAAAGGTGGAAAAGGCCAGAGAAATATGGAGACAATTTGATAGAATTTGTGGGTTCTTCACCTCTAGTTTTAAACCAAGAGCAAGATAATGTAAAGCTACAAACAAGGGAGTTTGCTCTCAACAAAAGAAGAGAATGAAGGAGAAATCTGGGGGTGGTAGGGACAGGAGAACTTAAGACTATGGCAAATATCAATTAAGGAGATTCAATAACACATCAAGTGGGCAGCCAATTCCACAGGGGGACACAAGCAGGCCCTTCCACACTCACCTCTGAAATCAGGAAGCCATTGCGATACCAGGTAATACTGGGCTTCAATGAAGCTTTGCTGAGACAGTGAAGATAGGCTGGTTTGCCTTCTTCCAGTTGAACATCCTTGGGCTTTATCACCCACGTTGGCTTGGCTGAAAAGTACAGCAGATACCAGGCTGAAACTGACTTAGTGGCAGAAGACACAGGCAAGTGTCAAATGCCTGTTTGGCCCAAAGACTTACTGAATGGGCAGGCCAAACCCTATAACATCTGTTTCTCAGCCTGCAGCAGAAGCCATTTCACTAGACATGGTCAAAAAACCCATCAGAATCATGCTGGACTGATTAGCAAGGACTGTGCTTCAGCCCTCAAATCCAGCATCAGGCTCATTTGTCTCCAGAGAATCAAACAGCTCTGTTATTTTCTCCCTCCCATCCATTGTGCTTGTAATCGCTCCACTCTACCTATGATTTGTATTCAACCCATACCAGACAGGACTCCCCCCTCTGTCCTTTTCATTATACACAACAGAACCTGCTTACTGGCTACTGTGATGATCTGATCTTGTTTTTTTCCTCCAGCCTTGTTTGCTGCATGGCAAGTGTATATCCCCGCATCCTTCTCAACAATGCCCTCGAAGATGAGTTCCTCTGCTTCTTGCCGTACCCTGCCAGTAGTGGGGACGCGAACGCCATTCCTTTCCCACCAAATATGGGGCTCAGGGACTCCCCGAGGTGTGTAACAGACCACACGCTGCTCTGTATTGTCTATGAAAGTCTTTGGCTCGAGTGAAACCATATCGTGAATTTCTGAGGAAAACAAAAGTTTAGAGTTTAGAACCCAGGACAGTTTGAAAGCTGCTTGGGAGAGGGCTGGGGAAACTGAGAGCCACAGAAACAGGCATATCTCTATTCAACTTCCTGCACAAGCTACATTTCCATTTGTGGGATAAGCAGGTTCAGGAGAAACAAAAAGAATAGCCCAACCAGCCTTGTCTCACCCAGATTTAGGCCCAGGCAAGACACGCCCAGTTCATGCCTACCAAACCAGGCAAAGCCCACTAGGCATTCTAAGACACCAGTTCATACCTGCCAGCTGAAGAGTTGCTTCCAAAATGACAGGCTTTCCTCTCTGCCCACGGCCAACACATTTGTAGACCCCAACATTACGCAGTTTCACCTGAGGTATTAGCAAAGAGCCATTGGAAAGGACCACAGTCCTTTGGGAACCCGAAGAAAAGAAAAAGGTTGAGGTCAACCACTGAGCAAAGCCGAAATGCTAGCAGACACACAATAACGCTATCCATCATCTTGATGCTTCTCCACACTATGCTTTGTGCTGTGAACAAGTGAAAGGGGATGGTGCAGAAGAGGACAGGATCTATACATAGTAGACAAGATAGACCAGCTTTCATACAGGAAAGACTCTTGAAATTTTAAGAGGGGAAAAACAAATTCATTGGTCATTATGCAGCCTAATATATTATTATCTGAAATAAAGATGAGCAACGCTTAGCGTCGGGAAGGCTTTCAGAACCATTCCATTAAACAGCAATACTGCAAAACATGGATTAACTGCTCTGTCTATCAAGCAATATTAAAGGTTCATCTCCTTGTATTATCTCCTACCGGTACCTTATCATCCTGAACCGGGCTGCTTACCTGCTCATATTGGAAATTATTTTCCCATCAAACAACCATTCCTGAGTAGGTGGTGGCTCAGCTGTGAACTGGCAATGGAACACGGCCTCCTCATTTTTATTGACAATCTGGTTCTCAGGAACAATTACTGGGCGAGGGAAGCTCTCATCTGTTGGGGGGACGGGACGAGACAGGAAATTGATTATCTACCACTTGCATTCCTTGCCCACCCCCCAACAATGTATTTCTCCTCAAAAGGGAGAGGTAGAGAGGTGCGGAAAAACCAAGATATCAACTGTATGCCTCCAGGCAGCCACCTGACTAGAGTACAACACTCAAGTGGGTCTGGTGGGACTTAAGGTTCTCATAAAGAAAAATTACTAGCGTTCTATCTGCAGAGGTTCCAAGCTATTTCTTGTTTGTGCCATATGCAGGTCCTGACTTTCCCATGTGTCTGAGAGGCTTTGCTGCAGAGGATGGCATTGATTAGAGAGCTATTTTCCTCTGAGAGACTTGCTTTGCTTTTAGGCATGAAGCACAGTTGGCCAATGACAAACACAAAATGGAAGTGTTTGCAATACTGACATATGCAAAATGCACATCAGAAACAAGTCACTGAAGTCAAAAAGGAAATGCGTGCTAACTGGGAGACCTTGTTAAACTAGTTGTCATGAACTTGCTATTAAATAGCACTGAAATAATAGGAACTCTGCTGCAAAAAAAAAGCCTGAATATTAGGCTGTAAAAGATATCCTATAGTTAGCAAGGATGAAATGCCGATCTATTTCACCCAGAGAATGGCTTGTGGCTTGTCACAGCCACAAGTACCGTCCTTGGACAAACTGCAAGTTGAGCCTGCAAAGAGTCACCACGATGCAATACCTTTTCAATAAGCTATAGAGTAGAAAAGGGGCAGATCTGCACAGTGTTTCTCAAAGAATATTTAACTGTCTTTGTAGCTGTGTGGACCAAATATCTCCCTTTTGCACCTAGTCCTGCAATGGCAATCTCTACAGATCTGCTGGTGCATGAATGGGATGGTTGAAGGTCCCATTTGAAAGCCAGTTTCACATGCACAAATACATTTAGTGTTCCAAAACATATTATTTCTAATATGGATAAAAGGGAGATCTCCGTTGGTTATAGCTCACTTGAACATTTACCCAATGCGGGAAGCATCTATTTCTCCGGCATAATGCACTGAACGGCTCCAAGTCTTTGCTGGCCGCATATGTGGCCCTAAAAAAACCAATACTTTCCTGTAACATTTAATGGTTTCATCCTGTGCCTACTGTAAGAGAATGCAGTTGCCACAAAGTCATCTGAGCCAGCCCAACTTCCATTCACCTATGATGCTGAGAGTGAAGTTGTTGCTGCTGCAAACAGATCCGACGGTATTACGAGCACAGCAATAATAGACACCGTTGTCATCAGGACCCGCACTCCTAAGGATCAGTGTTCGCTCCTTGCTGATGACTGAATAGTTGTTATGATCACTCACAATCAAGGTGCCATCCCGAAACCACTGACTTGTTGGGCTAAGAAACACAAGACGGTTTAACAGCTCTGCATGAAGATCAAGAGTTACTGTTCAAAAAGCATCTAACAGAATCGTCTACTTGACTCATTCTTTATCCTAACACAAAATGGGCAGTCATGGTTAGTCTAATGACAAGAAATATATCTAACAGCAGTCCCAGAAAGCCACAGTACAAAATTACTTTGTACCAAGAGGTACCCGTCTGAACGTCAAATCTGCAGCATCTTTACACCAAAACAGAAAATTCAGGCAGAAACAGCACTGTAATTGTGTCATCTTCTAGGCGTGGAACAGTGGCCACTGGGGTGTGTGTGGGGGGAGGTATTTGTGAATTTCCTGCATTGTGCAGGGGTTGTGTCAAAACAACCACTGGGGTGTGTGTGGGGGGAGGTATTTGTGAATTTCCTGCATAGATAACCCTAGAGGTCCCTTCCAACTCTATGGTTCTATGAGAAGACACATAGAATACACCCGAATATTTAAAGAGGCTGTAACACTTTTTAGTGCTTAAAAATCTTGCTGCAGGAGGAAGACCCCAGGTGAAGGAAGAGACAAAGAGAAACTAGGGCAGTGCTCCCCTACTGAGCGGGAGTAGTTCACGTCCTGAGCAGAATATAGGCTGTCATCGTTAAATGGGTGACGGGCAGTGCGAGATCCTGAGCAGCTCCCAGGCTGTCGCTGAGCGAGGCTTCCTGTGTTAATGAGAGGCTGCTCACACACACACAGCTTAGAGGGAACGCTGGTACTAATTACAACTAAACAGTGGCTCCTTACCGTGGATGTCCATCAATATGGCAGCGCAACGTCACTGGGGTAGAACTCTGTATGTCCTCTATTGTGGCTGGGCTCCTCAAAACAACTTCTCCTGTTTCAATCCCTTCCAAAAACAGGTGAAGGGAAGAAAGAAATATCAAGTTCATGTTGAAGCCTCTGCCTCTCTACAGAGCTTTGGAAATCGTACCTGTATCTGCGTACCTAACAGCAGGTGTCAAAAATCTTTCCTACACAAAACTTCACTTGTTCTGTACTAGAAAAGGACACCTGGGCTGCATGCGTTGCACTGAAAACTTAGATCATTCCTGTGTTTCTGTGATAATGTAAAGCACTTGCTAAACTACAACATCCACCCTGAAGTATAAAAGTATTTGCATGCTAAATATACAGGTGCCAGTCAAAGCTTCAATTTAGCCTCCAGTGGAAGCTAAAAAGCTCCATCCTTTGTCCACGTAGTACTTCCAGGCAGGGATACAGGATACAGACTTAAGGAGATCCTCTACTGTCAATTCTCTATCTATTCAAAGGCAAAGGTACTAAGAAAGGGCCTTGCAGCAAGGCAATAGCTAAAATTAGCAAGTACCCCCCACCAGTGTTCCCTCTAAGCTGAGTTAGTGTGAGTCAGCTCACAGTTTTTTAGCCTCTGGCTCACACATTTTTGTCTTGGCTCAGGAAGGATGGCTCCAGAGCAAACTAATTTATGCAGCAGCCCAATCGCTCACTCACAACTTTAATGCTAGTCACTCACAAAGTGGAATTTTTGCACACATAAGACTCTGCAGCTTAGAGGGAACATTGCCCACCATGGGAGGAAACTCAGTAAAATTAGACTAAGGAGAACTAGGATCTCCTGACAGAGGAAGTTCTCCATTCTGCATGGTTACCGAATTATCCCTATCATTATGGGTGGGATGTGGGACACACTCTGGGCTTTCCTGTCAAATGCCTGTGCTTACAAATGCTTCTGTCACATCTAGCATTTGCCAGTGTTTGGGAATGTGACATGAGTCCTACAAATTGCCAAGCCCGACTTCCTCCTCCGCCTGCAAGCAGTACTGGAATCTATTGTATGAGTTATTTGATCATACTTCAAGCGCCATTAAAGAGGGCATCACATTCCTAATGGCTTTCATCCGAATTCATCGGGGTCGATGACAGAGAAAGTAAAGGCAAGGATTATCAGTGTCAGACGGAGGATTTACACCTGGGATACTAAACCCAAGGCAGCAGACCAAGCCAGACAAACTTTCCATACTTACACTTGGCTTCTTACAAATTTCCCCTGCTTCCCTTCATTCCAGTCCCACCCTGAATCAGGCATGGATATAGTTGCCTCAAAAAGCTTCCCCAGATAGCCTGAAATCAATTATAGCAGCAGAGAGGTACAAGAAGCTTGTGGCTCTGTTTCAGTATTCTGGTCCCCCTCAGTACTATTGCTCTATCAACTACTTTCCTAAAGAACTTCCCCAAAGAAAAGCCTACTGCTGCAGGTAACAGGTAAGTAGTTACTTAACTGACATCCTGCCTTTCCTCTAGAGAGCCCAAGGCGTCATATATAGGGTTCCCAGGAACCTTTCCATCTAGCTACTATCCAGATCCAAACCCATTTTGCTTAAACAAGTCTTTTTGCTGGCTTGAGACAGAACAGTGATTTCTTCAGTGCCATTTCCATTCTTGTGTGAGTGATCCAGAAAATATGCGTGTGCATGTTTATGCTGAGAATGCGAGCATCAATGAGTCTGCCTATGATCTGCGTGCAGTAATGCTGCATATATTCCCAAAGGGTGTATTTATGGAGTAACTGTATATCAATATGTGACTATCTACACATTTGGCTTTGCAAGTGAGCATGCAAGAAAGCGTGGAGTGGGGGAACCAAGAAACAGTGTTATCCAGGATAAAAAGAGCCCCCCCCCCACCTCTAGCTTACACTGTTCTGCCTGTTCTCAGACCTCTCTTTCTCCACAAATAGCGAGAGGCTTTCTTCTTCTAAGCAATTGCCTGGAGTTCTGCCACCATTAGCCTGGCTTCTCTTAGTAATGGCTGATGCTTAACAGACATTCAAACAGATCACATTTTCAAACCAAAATGGCACCCCCAAATTTAATTTGCAGCCTGAACCCTAATGAAATAAAAGGTAGACGCAACATGAAGTATCACCATACCTGAAAGAGTTACATACACTTATGTTCCAGCGTGTACGCACAGTACAGAGCTGCAACTGGCTTGGGCTTCCTGGACTTCCTGGTGTGCGTTTTATTTTATTACTTTTCAGTGTAGAAGCAAAACCAGACTTGTAATCAACAACAGCTTTGTTGTTACCCCCCTTTGCCGCCAAATAATTCCTCTAGACTGCATTACTGGTATCTGACTGACCAAACATACTTTGTAAGTGAGACACTCACACTTTATATTGAAAGACACATTCGTTGTGCGAGCTTCTTCTCCAGTCACTACATTGCGGGCCACACACTGGAAGTTTCCACCATCTTGCTGCCTATCAACTGATGTGATCTGTAGGCTGCTTCCTTCCTTGAAACGACGTTCGGTGTCCTGAACAGGAACGCCATTCTGTAGCCACTCAAACTCTATGTCACTCGGTTGCTCCACTTCACAGCGCAAGATGGCACTGCGACCGTGTAAAGCATCCTGGGAATATGGCTCCTTGGTGAAGAGTATTTTAGCTTGAGCCCCAACAGCTGAAATGAACAAAAAAAGAAGAAGATCAAATACCAGTGCTGGAAGAAGGGGAGAATAGAAGTAGATTGCTTAACACCTTTTTCTAAAAAGTACAATAGAAGAGAAACGGAATTAAAAGTTTAAGGCAGCCGCCCGGAAATTTGTTACCCCCCCCCCAAAAAAAGAAGAACCACTGAACACTGAAAATGGAGATGAATACGACAATGAAGACGGTGAGACAGATGAAAAGAGGCCTAAGAGAACACAGTGAGGTAGGTCTAACCAGTGCGGCGGTCAAGAAGAAACTGAGTGGGAAGGCGTTTCCTTCCCCACTCCAGACATGCGCAGTTGGTGTCTGCTTTCCCAGGAAGCGCACCAAATTTAGAGGCCAGCTCTTGTAGTTCTCTGAGGTCAGGTTTGAGCGCAGGCGCAGAGCCCATGTGTGGGACTGCACTGAGACCACAAAGAAGACCCATACGTCCATCCCTAAAATTACATTATAACTATATGATAATAGCCAACTACCCTGTTCATGTATGGCATTTACATGGAGGAGACAGGAGTTATCAGTAAGAAGCCATCAAGAACAAAACTGGGGTGCAGTTTTTAAAAGCTGCAGGTATCCCTGCTATTCTCCAATCCAGGGTACAAACATTGTCTGTCTCTAGGTGGACTTTACAACTGTAATGCGAAACCCACACAAAGGCATTCTATTCTAACTTGTAAATTTAGAATGGAATAATTTTATGTGGAAAGAAGAGTTTTATTGTTAAATATATACCTTAACAAGGCCCTGAAGCACTTATAAGATGGCTACCACCTGGACACCAAAACTGAGAACTTCCAGACCTAACAGCAGGAGTCTTTATAGCATAAGTCATAAAGCTAAGGCGCCATGGTTCGGTTGTAAATGACTCTCTTATGCTCTGTGGATCACACACTGACTGTGTGCAACTTTCTACTGTCTCCAGTTCACACATGCAGGATATGCTACAAGAATCTAAGAGCTTCTTCTGCAACAATATTTTTCTTCAGTTGCAAAGTTAATTCAGCCTTGTATCTGGTGTCCACCAGTTTGGACCCTGCATATGGAAATGACCTGCCATGGACTTTATTAATTTTGCATTCCTAGAATCAAAAGTAAAATAGGCAAGACTTTATAGAATGCAATGCAGAGAACATGTATGGTGCTGCTCAGGACAGAGAGAGTGTAAGGTCATATAGCCTTCTAAGAATTTATTTAAAGATATCCGTGAAACAGAAGGGTCATGCATGGAGTAGGGGGGAGAAGAGGTTTTTCATGGTTTTAAACCTTCCAGAGATTTTACATCTATACTTGACTACAACAGCAGCAGCCTGTAAAGTTTTACTGAAAGTAAAATAAAAAGGTTTTGAAAGATATAGTGCAGGAATGGTGTGGGTAAGGAAGAGAAGAAGAATTGTGTCAGTCATAGGCAAAATGACAACATTCAACACAGCAGTGGAAATGACAGCTGAGAGGACAGCTCACTTCTCTAACAAAAATATTTCAGTTTTAAGCACTGGGAAAATAGAAGAGATACCCACACTGCATTAAGAAACATTTTTGGACACACCTGCAACATCTGAGAATTGTTCAAGGGGGCATTTTTATTAAATGAATAGGGCCATATTATGACAAAATGGTTTAGGAAGATGCTTTTATAGAGGGAACTGAACTTTAAGCTCTCCCACTGTCTTCAGTATGTATTATCGGTTCACTGGGTGTATTATCCTACACTAACTGCTTTGGTTTTATACTTACGTAATACTATATTCTGCATTATGTAACATATGTCTTTTTATGCTTTGTTTCAGATTTTTGTAATCCTATTACCTTGTTTATTATTTCATCCTATCTTCTTCACTGACTTACACTATGTAATCTCCTTTGAGTCTCAGTGAGAAATGTAGACTATAGTAATGCCTAATGCAACAATTGTCTGGCAAGGCTTTAACACTCTAAACCCTGTATTTATATTCAAGAGTTGGCTATATCAAACTACTAAACTGAAGGTCACGCCCAGGATTTGGGGTACCAGGACAAGATGGCCTCCTGAAGATCCTGAGCCCATGCACCACCCCTTGATGGGTCACTCATCAACAACGGGTCATATGCCAGACCTTCGGCCCCAGCAGATGCCTGACCATGCTGGCCCTAATCTTTAGCCCAGACTATCCCCAGGAATTAAACCTAATGAAATCATTAGAAACATTTGCAGAACACATTTAAGATGAAGAAAATCTAAGGATCTAATATAAAAACAGGGACAAAAATGACCTAAAGTGAAAAACCATGCTCATCATCTTCTGAAAAACAGGAACCTAGGGTTGTGTGGGATTAATGAAGAGTTAGTATGTCCAGGCTATTCTTTAGATCCTAAAATAATCTAAGAGCCAATGGAGACTGGACCTACAGATTGTTGGTGAAAACTGTTAAGAAATACTTTTTTACTGCAGCCCCAAATCTGCCGAAGAACTAGCACCTGGTTCTCAAAATCGCCAGTCTGCAAATTCCACAGAGGCCTCAAACCGCATGGTCTGCAAATTCCAAAGCTTTGCTCCAACTGAGTTCCATAATTTTGTGGCTTACCTGGATCTATCTACTCCTAAAGCTCATTTTCAAAAGAGGGCCATAGAACAAATAAAAAAACTATTTTTTTAAAAAAAGAAGAGGGCCATAGTACAGAGGAAAGAGGTGACATTTCTGTGCACATAACATCCTTTGAAGAAAGTTTACTGAAAGTCCCTGCTTTGATTTGGTCAATAAACAGATATAAAATAGGGGTGGGCACAGCCTATGGCTCTTTTTTGCAGCTACAGCAGTAAAAATCTGTGGCGGAAAACTACAGGAGAGACATACAAAGCAGATGTTTTAGAGACAAATAAAAACTGAGGGGGTTCTTTGTACTCTTTCATAAGTATCTAAGATGCAAGTCTTAAAGTACTTCATAACTCCAGACAGGTAAGCACCTGGGCCTAATACAGGCAATACAACCTATTTTTGCTTAGGTTTGCTGTTTGATGTAGACCATAAGTGGTCAAATGTCTTACTTTTCATCACAACACTGGTACTGACTGACTGAACATAAAACTTCCTTTGAAGAAATCCCCAAAGACTGAAAATAGTCATCTAGATTGACCCACAGGAAGCTAAGGATTGCAAACACAAACACATTTGAGCAATCCTTTTAGCCCTGTAGAATCAAGATACAACATTTTAAGAAGCCGCAAGCAAGGGAAAGAATGACACGGGACATGCAAAGCAAGACACAAGGGAAGAGATGTACTGACAACTTTACTTGGCATTAAACAAACAACAGGTCTGGATAAAATTATTTAAACAATACTTCTAAATGTATTATTTACAGTGAGCCCAACTGATGATAAAAGTACTATTTTTTCCTGCTAATGATCACCCTCTGAAATGGGTCATTCTAATTCCCTAAACTGATTTTACAGATTAAGCAACTGAAGCTGAGAGTGTATCTTCTCCAAGGACACCCAGCAAAACCAACAGCTGAGCTGGGATATTTTGTGATGAAATAACCAAACATTTGGAAAAATAATCCTGCAGCATATCTCCAGAATGGACTAAAAAGCTTAATCTCTGGTTCTTATTTTAGTGAAGGCTTTACTTGTAATTTGTCAAGAGCGGCCTACAGATTAGAGATTTTTAAGGACTCCAGTTCCACTGTTACTGCATTATATCACCCACGGTTTTTAAGAGGGGGCAGTTCAGGCTAAGTTTAAATAAGGTGAAAGGGCTTGGGGTCCTGAGGCACAAGGAAAACGTTGATTTTGAATAGAGAGAGAGCTTCATGGCCTGTATTTAATAGATTTACAGAATAAAACTATTTATATACCACTTTTCTGACATACATTCCAAATGGTACCCAGATATACAGATGATACCATAAACATTACAACCAGCAACAATGGATTTAAACAATCAGTACAACCACAGGTCAATTTCCAAAGTCCCTTTTGAATCATTCAGCCTTGCATTTTTCTTCCTGAAGACCACTCAAGAGATCACTCTCTAGGGCACTGGTTCCCAATCTTTTTGGTATGGGGTTGGACCCACATCCAAATTTACTTGGTATGGTGACCTATCCAGGTCCAGTCCTGGAACCCTAGGTTGGCACCCATCTAGTCCAGCATTCCATTTTCTGCAATGTCCAAAGAGCTGTTTATGAGAACAAAGGCTACAAGCAGCACAGCCTTTGCATATGGAGGCTACATTCCAGCCTTTGATCACTCTCTTCTAATCCATTGTTCCCTCTAATCCCCTTTAAGATCCTAAGAAACTTGCTTTAGTAACCACTTAGACATGTTTTACTTGATTTTTTTTCTCAACCAACATGCATATGCAGAGAAGAAAAAATACCAGCTACTGTATGACATGGGAGATACTGTATCTAGGGGTCAGGCCCAATGCTCCCTCTAAGCTGTGGAGTCTTGTGAGCAAAAGTTCTACTTTGTGAGCTACTGGCATTAAAGTTGTGAGCAAGCGATTTGGCTACCGCATAAATTAGTTTGCTCTGGAGCCATCCTTCCTGAACTAAGACAAAAATGTGTGAGCTAGCTCACACTAACTCAGCTTAGAGGGAACACTGGTCAGATCCTGCTTTCCAAAATACAGCTTAAAGTGTTGCTTCTGGTTAAGAACATAAGAACATAAGAACATAAGAGATGCCAATGTTGGATCAGGCCAAAGGCCCATCCAGTCCAACACTCTGTATCACACAGTGGCCAGAAATACCAGTGCCATCAGGAGGTCCACCAGTGGGGCCAGGACATTAGAAGCCAGCCCACTGTTGACCCCTCCCCCAAGCATCAAGAAGACAGAGCATCACTTGCCCCAGAGCCCCTATCTATACCTTGTGGCTAATAGCCACTGATGGACCTCTGCTCCATATGCTTATCTAATTCCCTTTTGAAGCCGTCCATGCTTGTAGCACCCACCACTTCCTGTGGCAGTGAATTCCAAGTGTTAATC